AGTCAACGTACGTCTTTATATTCTGTCTTATAATCCTAATTAGTTTATTGTCATATTTGTATGCATTTTGAAACTTAATAAAATGCACACGATCTGCTTATACTTAGTGAATTTATAACTTGACTGTAATATCTACACATCTTATAGATTGCCAACGTGCATCATATTTCACACAGATGCCCTAAGTGCGACTTAGTGTATGTTGTCTGTCTCATTACACTTCACGGCATTTAATGATTCTGTTGAATGCCATAACAAATAAATAAAAACAAAATGCAAATATTAAAACTAAAATAGACCAAAGTTATAGCAACAATATCAGGCTATTACCTTGTTCGGGGAATGTATCCATCAATATCCACATAAAAGAATGAGATGCGATTCATCTGCAGCTGACAAAGTATCCTGTTCAATGTCCTGTGTCTTTTAGCAGTCTTTAACAGCAAAAAGTGATCTATTGTTTCAGGTTTTTCACACTGGTGTACAGTCCCATTGGTCACCCACGATAGCTCACCTGGCAACTAATTGCATGATGTCCGCCATTCTTTAAAAAAGTAATTTAGTTAGCCAATAATGAGCAGCCAATCAATGTATTGGCGGTTAATCCTTTGAAGGAAGGACATTACGACAGGGTGTATTCAGTATAGATGAGTAAATCTACATACATAAACACTACCTTTTGACAAATCCGCTGTGCAGGATACAAGAAATTTATCAATCAGCGTGTTATCGGTTAATCCTTTGATCGATGTTTGTTTTGTAACTCAGCTGATAATTCTTCTTGCTGCACTTCCATGCGTATATTACATAAGATGTAATACATTTGCCACATCAGACCTCAATTTATAATGATGAGTATTTACTCCAGACACAAGAAATGCAAAATGGGAACCTTTTTGGGGTAATCTGAGTGGTACTATCATTAATTATACCTGTTATAAATTAATTAACTGACCATCAAGTGAACGATGACAAATAACATGTGTAGGTTTACCACCAAACAAGGGTTACAGCAAAAGAGTAGTAATCGCTGTATTGCATGCAAGTTTGATTGCTTGAAAAAAGAAATTATGGGCCGACACTGTTTTGAGGATACGAAGGGAACCTCATTGTTACATGAGAAATATATGTAAGCATTTGCTGTGTACTTAGTTAAAAACTGTATATACCTATGTACCTAAATAAAATTTCAGATTTCTTTTGCAGTGGTAAAGTGGGGTTGTTTAGTTTATGGATTCCAATATATCAAATGTGTGTTTTTGATATCATAGCATACGTAATAGACATCATATTTTACATGATTAAATATCGAGGTAAAACACACAGAAATAGGATCAAATTGGATCAGTCATCATACCATCCAAACATTTGAATATCTGAAAAAGCCTACACTGCTGGGATACTTTATTACAATCAGACAAGAAGTACCGGGGATATTTTTCAAATAATGGCATCTGATGGGCATCCACCCTTCCTAATGTCCCACTGATTAGGTTGAAGAAATTCTGCCAAGGTGGACAGTAGCGTCCTTGTGTCCGTCACGGTCGAGTGAGCATTGGCCGACTAGTTTGCAGCTAGGTTTCGTAATTAGACTGTTGGCTGGAAACAATAATCACTCTGGATCAGTGGCCCTTTAAGTGTTGTCTCTGTACCATCTGTTACCGGTACTTGTTTGTTGTTTGTTAGTTTCAAATCATTTTCAAGGTTCTTCGCTCCACACTGTCACATTATGTGGAGTTAATATTGAGGTTAATACAAGTATTTAACTTGTTCTTATAATACTTGTAATACAATGTGTTTTGTCATACCGGGAAACACTTAGGTGTCACTCCATTTTATTAAAAAGAACATTTTGCATGAAGCAGTTGACTTGATATTTAATTTCATCTTTAAAAGTGTACATACACTTACAGAAAGGAGCAAGTTCATTTCTGATTATAGATATGTTTGGGAATACTGCACATATATATTTTTATATACTCATCATGGAAGTAAACATACTATTTTCTGAATGTTTTTATGGATTCCCTTTACATATCTCATTATGCTATATCATGGTAAAGAATTTCAATCACCCTGTGTTAGCCTATCCCATTCTCATCTAATGGTTACATATTGTCTTGAGGTATATCATGGTAAAGAATTTGAATCACCCTGTGTTAGCCTATCCTATTCTCGCCTAATGGCATCAGCATTTCAGTCATGATTGGGATAGTTGCCAGGCCAGGCCACGTGGAGGCCTAGGGTATCTGGCCCAAAAAAGGTTCAAAAGTGTCATTTCTGAAGAACATCTCTCTGCCCAATTATTACATCAAGGAAAATTAATACACCACACAAAGATATGCTTGATTGTTTCTTAATTGTCATGTTATCTGTAGGGCTGCTTTGAGCTTCTTGATTGTGATGTTATCAGCACTGACTGGTATATAGTATGACCAGAAATTATTGAGAATTTTAGGAATATGTTTAATTGGATTTCTAGTGTAAACAACCTTGACCAGCTATCAAGTGCTCGGTTTCATTCGCTAATCCTTTTTCATTAGTTTGTGAAGAGTTATCCCCCTTTGTTTACTTGCTAGCAGACGACATTTTCAGTGATCCTCAGTATGGATGATTTAGAGAAGAGGAAGTTGATTTTAGAGTATTATAACAAGGACATCAGATCAGCTAAAGTGATTTCAAGTAGAACAGGCATCCCTTTGTCCACTGTTTATCGTGTTTTGAAAAATATTGCACATGGATATGGCATTGAGCACCAGGGAGGCGCAGGTAGGCCCAGAAAATTGTCTGTCGGTGACAGGAGGCGGCTTGGTATTCTTGTTTCTAAAAAACAAACGAAGGAGTTTAGAAAACTTAAGGCTGGATGTGATTGATAGAGGGACTGTGGCTGTCTGTAAGGAGACAATTAGAACTGAGCTGCATGCAATTGGTTGGCAGAAAAGTCGAGGAAGTCCATCACCGATCATGAAACCTGAACAAAAGGAGCGAAGGTTGAACTGGTGCTTACAGCATAGAAATTTTAACTGGGACAATGTGATTTTCTCAGATGAAAGTTCTGTGTGGCTGTTTCCTAATACACTGAAATTCAGGACCAAACAAACTGAAAAACCTTTGTATCAGCGCCCAAAGTACAGTCCGAAATTTATCGTGTGGGGTGGCATATCTGTGTTAGGGGCAACGCCCCCTCTGTGTATTTGAAGGGAATATGAACAGTGAGCGGTACACAAATAATCTCAAGGGACATTTACTTCCATCTGCTCACATGTTCTATGGAAAGTTTTGGATTTTCTAGTAGGACAACGACCCAAAACATCGTTCAAAGCATTCACAGGCCTAGTTTCGGACCCAAAATATGACATTATTAGATTGGCCAAGCTATAGCCCTGACCGCAATCCAATAGAAAATGTTTGGGGACTTATGAAGGAAAGTGTCAATAAGAAAAATCTGACAAATATTGCTGAAATGAAAGAAGAGGTGGTCCGATATTATGACAGCATGGACCACGACCTTTAACTTCTTTGATCAGTAGTATGCCCCGCATTGAAGCCTGCATTGCTGCCCATGGTGACTTGACAAAATACTAACTGTTCACCTGTCTTTGAATCTGGAGTTATGTTCTGCTAATATTCACATTTAATACGTGAGTAATGAGTGAAACAAATAAAAAAAATTACCATCTTTAAATTCTCAATAATTTCTGTTTGTACTGTATCTTTGGTAGTTGTAAATGCAGATTTTGTTTTCTATGCTAATTGCAAATTGTTTTTATAATTTTCTTTTCCAAAAGTAGTTTTCTGTCATTTGAATTATATTTCAATTATATTCTAAAAAGTTACCAAAAAGCAAGAAGCAATTTCATTGGCTTTATCATGTAATCAGTTTTCATAAGAGCCTAACAGAAAGTCTAGAGAGGTGCTGGGGCATTGTGCGGTCATGTGACCCAAAGCATGTGCAGTTCATGCAATCCAGCCACATGGCATAACAGTGGAAGGCCTCATGGTGTACAGATGTGTGAATGATGACAAGAGTGTTGGAACACAAATGTAAGTTTATTTCATGTATATTTGAGGTTATCTGTCAATTCTGAAGGTTTGAGTAATGACTTATTTTGAGTATAGTATTTTATCATGCTTATGGTTATTGAAAAGGAATTTGAATTCTAAAGTAATGTTTGCATTTCATTGGAGAAATAATTCTATTCTCAATTCATGCTTCATTTGAATTATTATTCAGCCAATGTAACTACTAACACAGCAGTAATTATGCCTTAAAGTTATGCTGCTGTAAGTAATTAATTGTGAGAAACTGTTTTATGGTACCGTTTGTCAAAGCATATTTAGTAAGGTATCTTTTGTTTCTTTTTTAGTTTCTGAACCCCGCCATTTAATGAACAATGGTCTATCAAAAGGCTAATGGAAGACACCAGCTTTAATGTTACCAATTCATGGATTTGTGTAGTATTGTGCCGACAGTTTCTAACCGTCCCTTGACATGTGGACTTCAATGTCGTCAAGGCTATATTGCCAAATTGTCACCAGTACAACCAAATGCCCCACCATTAATAAATGAACATGACGAATATGCTCTAGTGAACAAACTTTGTTAAATGGTGTGAGTTTGTCAGATTTGTAGTTTATTGCATCAACAGTAGTAAAGGCTTGTAATTGTCATATAGACATATACTGACATTAACTGGGCTGACTGGCATGTTATCCTGACTGACTGGCATCTGATCTGTAGTGAGGGTCTTGATTGTCATGTTATCCAGACTGACTGGCATCTGATCTGTAGTGAGGGTTGCTGTGAGGGTCTTGATTATCATGTTATCCTGACTGACTGGCATCTGATCTGTAGTGAGGGTCTTGATTGTCATGTTATCCAGACTGACTGGCATCTGATCTGTAGTTATTGTCTGTTCTTTAAGTTTATAATTTGAAGATTAGAAATAAGGGACACTTGAATTTATAACATACATTATGTCTATCCCATTTTGTGCCAGATGTTGTATGTGGTTGTCTGTCAATATTATGTTTGGATCAATTACAAGCCTGCTGAGGGTGAATTGTGTAGTTTTGGTGAGTATGCACTGTGCCCTGCAGTGATAGTGAGAATTTGTCCAAAAAGATTGTTGCCTATTTGCCCTCTGACTGGTGTCTCACAACTATGTCAAATGGTGCCCTTGGTGGATGATTGAATTCTCTTTTGCATTCTTGACATTTCTTTATGCGACCATTTAATGCGATTAATTGGAAATTATGCTCTGTGTGTCCAGCCAGCCCAGTATGCCTTCCATGAGTGGTATCCACAGACACTGTTCTCGTGTGCCTTTTCTTAGAAATAAAGATGAAGTTCCGATCTGTTGTCCTGATATTCTACACCATCTACCTGGCACACACAGCCCACAAATGTCTCATTTTGCAGTGTTGTAAAGGATTCACTGCTGCCAGAGCATTCAAGGTGATACCAGCACTTGCAGCTCTCACACTGCAGCTCTCACACTGCAGCTCTCACACTGCAGCTCTCACACTGCACCTGCAATACAAAGTCATTATTCTTATTATTGTTTGCTTTGCCAATTCAGTTGTGTATATTTTCTCATTAGTATAGTTTGTAATGTATTACTTTTGTGATTGCACAAGTGAGAAAAACTCATAAGATATATTTCCTCAGTATAATTGTGCTGTAACTGGTCATGAATCCTTACCCAATGTTGTACACTTTGTTTGGTGCCATGATGTTTTAGTGTCCGCCATACGTGTTGGCATTGAGCAGCCTCTACAGATGTCTGCCATTGTATGTAAATCTGAAACAACACATTCACATTTGTTTAGAATATTATGCATTACATTTAATTACTTAGTAACACCAATGGACATTTGCAAAATTAATATCTCTATATTTCTCTTAAGTTATAATGCCTTTAGAATAGCATGTTTCACTTTGTTTTGGTAATCTGTACTTACCTGTTTCTTGCAGCAAATGGGATGCTATGTGTATTCTGGTCTCAACTGTATCAAATGGGATGCTATGTGTATTCTGGTCTCAACTGTATCAAATGGGATGCTGTGTGTATTCTGGTCTCAACTGTATCAAATGGGATGCTATGTGTATTCTGGTCTCAACTGTATCAAATGGGATGCTATGTGTATTCTGGTCTCAACTGTATCAAATGGGATGCTGTGTGTATTCTGGTCTCAACTGTATCAAATGGGATGCTATGTGTATTCTGGTCTCAACTGTATCAAATGGGATGCTGTGTGTATTCTGGTCTCAACTGTATCAAATGGGATGCTGTGTGTATCAACTGTATCAAATGGGATGCTGTGTATCAAATGGGATATTCTGGTCTCAACTGTATCAAATGGGATGCTGTGTGTATTCTGGTCTCAACTGTATCAAATGGGATGCTGTGTGTATTCTGGTCTCAACTGTATCAAATGGGATGCTGTGTGTATTCTGGTCTCAACTGTATCAAATGGGGTGCTCATGTTCTCCCCATCAAGCAGAAAGTCAAACTGAAATTTGAGATTATCAGTTCATTAGTAGGAATTTTTTTTAACAAATGTTGTGGGGAGTTATGTTAAACTATGGTAACTGGTTTTAACACATTAACAATTATGATACATTTTGAATACTTATGCTGAAATATTGTTTGGATTTTCGTTGTTGAAGGCAACTTTATCTGTTGCCAATGTGTGTTAGATTTAAAAAATGTGTCCTACCTTCATCACATATATTCCACAGCTTGTGAAGTCTTGTTGTAATTGATGTTTTACTGTTGTCAGCTTCCATCTCTTCTGAAGGGTGTCCTTGTTGAGTAGACCCATTTTACATCTGCTCAGTATTCTCTGCCAAGTTGACAAAACTGCCTCTTTACTCTGATGTGATGTATCTTCACCCATTAGGTTTATATATACAATCTCATAATTTTTGGGGTATACCACAAACATTTGCCAGTGCTGTCTTGTGACATATGGTGCCAGTATCATCTCTTTTGAAAGAAGATCCACCTGTTCCAGAAATAAAGTCAGTCTTTTAAACAATATTCTTTGCTTTATTCTTTTAAAAGGACACCTCTGCTCGTCATGCTGAAGACCTGGGTTCGATTCCCCACATGGGTACTCTGTGTGAAGCCCATTTCTGGTGTCCCCCGCCGTGATATTGCTGGAATATTGCTAAAAGCGGTGTAGTACCACTTTAAAAGGACACCAGTGTCTTTAATTCATGATTTCTTCACTAATTTTATAACATTAAGAGCATCTTACAAATTATTCTAGTATTAAGAACTCATATGCAATGCATTGATGAATGAGCAGAAATGTGTTCCCAACAAGATCTGTCTTGGTCAAGTCAGTTATCAAGTACACAACTCTTGAAATTGCAGACCAGAAGACCAGGGTTAGAATTGGTCTTCAGCAACCGATGCATGTCAACTAACACCATCAGGCTGTCAGACTCACTGACTTGGTTGACACATGTCATTGTATCCCAATTGTGTATATCAATGCTCATTATGTTTTATCATTGACTATTTACAGACTGTTATATCGCCGTATAGGTGGAATATCGTACAGGTGGAATATCGTATGGGTGGAATATCGTTGAGTGCGGCGTTAAGCAACAAACAAACAAAAACTTACAATAGCAAGTCAGCTGTAATCACCCAGTAGGCTTACATGGTTATATGAAACCCTTGCTTTGCATGTGCCTTGAAGAGTGGAGAGACGTACATGTTAATTTATACATGTTGAATAATTGTTAGTGGTATGTATTTGTCCTCCAAAGGTAATCCTACTTGTGTAGTGTTAGTTTAGGCAAACATTTTACAATAATTGTATTTCTTACATTCCTGAATACTGGTGGTTGTCCATGCTTAAGAATAACATCAGTTGCAGCAAGGCAGTCCATCAGGTATACATCATCTCGGTCGCCACATTTAACACTGCAGTATGCGTTGAGTATCTGTAAAAATGTTAAGCAATCATTTCACACAATAATACATGTGCTGCATTGTCACAATTCACCATTGTATATTTGGTTCCCAACTTCTTCATAGACATTCATTAGACACCTCGACTATGGTCAAATGTGGCATTAAACAACTAGCAAACCGATTTAAAATACATGGTGTGAAAACTTCAGCTATGTCATCAAAGTTAATTTGCTTTTGTATATCAGGAAAGCCCAAACTGATGTTCCTTGAAAAAATCCCTTCCATAAGGGTGATGCCAAGCCAAGCATAAACATTTTGTGTGAAACTTCTTTAATCCATGGTCATCGGTTTTTAGTTACATGAACATGAAGATTACCTAACCAAAACAGATATAAATAGGTGTACTTTTTGTCAAATAGTTATTGCTATCATCAGATTTCAAATTAATTAGTTGTTATGGAAGTACCTCATCTGTAAATTCATGCCCTGGTCTCAGTACTCCGAAACTCTTCCCTGTCAGTTTATGTCCATCTACTACAGCCATCACAGCATTTGTGTTTGAGCGTAACCTCCATATGGACTCATAATCCAAAGGTATTGGTAGCTGAAATGGTTCAGGCTTGTAACGCCGACCTTTCGACCAAACTTCATGGTTGAGTGGAAAATATCGGCGTCCTGAGACAGTTTCATTTTGCCAGTTAATATAGGATTATGAGGACAATGAAGGATCAACGAGTTGTCAGAAGAGGAGAATCCGGATTATGCAGATGAGAGCACATCTAATGAGAAGACGACAACAGTTTATATTTTTATCAGTTAATTTCCATACTTGAAGGGGCGGTGGGGTAGCCTAATGGTTAAAGCGTTGGCTCGTCACGCCGAAGACCCGGGTTCGAATCCCCACATGGGCACAAAGTGTGAAGCCCATTTCTGGTGTCCCCCACCGTGATGTTGCTGGAATATTGCTAAAAGCGGCGTAAAACCAAACTCAGTCAGTCAGTCCATACTTGAAGCACTCATTAACAAACTCAGTCGACAGATTTTTACAGTTTTTTTTACAATGAGTCACATAAGTAAATGTGATATTTTTAATAAATACATCGCATATGCGATGCATATTCATGATACATATAGCACACATATTTTCACAGATATTGATCTACAGATTTTGACCCAAATGCAACAGGTGGAATGCTGAATCAGCAAACGGTCTCACGGGCAGTGTACCTTGTCTGAGCTGGTGACGGAATAATTCAGTCGTCGCTCCAAGTCCCTGTATTTCTTCTTGGACGGACGCTTCTGGCCAGCAACATACTGGACCAGCTTGTTTTCCGTGTTGGTCTGTTCTAGTGACAATAACGGTGTGATCTGGAAGATGTTTGGGTGAGCCTTGCCGATGTATCTCTTCAGATCGTGAATGCCACCCTTCCAGGTGGTTGTTGGTTCTTGGCCCATCTGAGTTGTGGTGGTTCCATTGCGTTCCATATATGTTCACCAAGTGGACAAGTTCACCTTATCAAAACATCTAGAGTAGATTATCCACAACCCTAGTTACGCCTAATCAGAACCTAACCTTCAAAGGAAACCGCAGGTCGGCGTCCTGAGACTAGTGGAAAATCAAAAGGTCAGCGTCCTGAGATCGACACCGTTGAAATGAACATGAACAATAACTGTTATTTCTGTATTGTTAAAACTTCACATTTAATGGTTGTTCTCTTTGGGATAGACTTGGCTCTTCATGCTGCATATATTTCTCTCATTCTTGGTGTTGGCCACCTTGTCATTTTGGTAGTGTTAGGCAACACAATGAATTGAGGTAATGTTCACTGACTATAATTTTGTGTTATCACAACCCGATTGCCTGGAGTTTATTTTACATCAAACACACTTGTGTCTCGTCCAGCCTAGACTGTTTTCAGACAACATGAAGTAAACCAGCCAAATGTCTACATTCCTGTTACAGTGTTGGCTCTTTAACTTACACGTTCACTCTGTCTCCTGTTGATCGGACGTGTCTCATCTCCTTGGTTCTGGAAAGTGTGGGACAGTTAGTTCATTACAAGTTCATGTTGAAATCCAGTTAAAGCATTTCTATATTAGAGTCACTATTAATATACATGGTACTATACTTACCTCCTTAGTTGTGTGAGCATCATGGTACTATACTTACCTCCTTAGTTGTGTGAGCATCATGGTACTATACTTACCTCCTTCACTTGTGTGAGCATCATGGTACTATACTTGCCTCCTTAGTTGTGTGAGCATCATGGTACTATACTTACCTCCTTAGTTGTGTGAGCATCATGGTACTATACTTACCTCCTTTGTTGTGTGAGCATCTTGGTACTATACTTGACTCCTTAGTTGTGTGAGCATCATGGTACTATACTTACCTCCTTAGTTGTGTGAGCATCATGGTACTATACTTACCTCCTTCGTTGTGTGAGCATCATGGTACTATACTTACCTCCTTAGCTGTATGAGCATCATGGTACTATACTTACCTCCTTAGCTGTGTGAGCATCATGGTACTATACTTACCTCCTTTGTTGTGTGAGCATCATGGCACTATACTTACCTCCTTAGTTGTGTGAGCATCATGGCACTATACTTACCTCCTTTGTTGTGTGAGCATCATGGTACTATACTTACGTCCTTAGTTGTGTGAGCATCATGGTACTATACTTACCTCCTTTTTTGTGTGAGCATCATGGTACTATACTTACCTCCTTAGTTGTGTGAGCATCATGGTACTATACTTACCTCCTTAGTTGTGTGAGCATCTTGGTACTATACTTACCTCCTTAGTTGTGTGAGCATCATTGGTACTATACTTACCTCCTTAGTTGTGTGAGCATCATGGTACTATACTTACCTCCTTAGCTGTGTGAGCATCATGGTACTATACTTACCTCCTTAGTTGTGTGAGCATCATGGTACTATACTTACCTCCTTAGCTGTGTGAGCATCATGGTACTATACTTACCTCCTTAGTTGTGTGAGCATCATGGTACTATACTTGCCTCCTTAGCTGTGTGAGCATCATGGTACTATACTTACCTCCTTAGTTGTGTGAGCATCTGTTGTTTGCTTTACAAAAGTTCTTTTCCTCTTTCTTGAGGACATTACAGGAATATTCAATTTGCTACTAATCAACCACTATACAATTAAACCTTTCATTTGGGTCAAGTAATATGTTTTCTTCTATGTAAAACAAATATATGATCATTTTTGTACATTGCAAGAATGTGTATTTAACATACCACTGTGGTTGTGTTGTCCTCATCTGATTCACTGCAGTCCTTTTCCTCTTTCCTCCCTCAAATGATGCTGCTGACCTTGCCTGGGTTGAGAGAATGGGGATTCTAGCTTTACCAGCATAGTATGACCAAGATTTATAATTTCATTACATTATAGTAAATCCACAGTGAACATACGATGATTGTTTTGTATTGATGTATTGATTGATTGTATTGATGGTGATGTTTGCACAATGTTTGATGACGAGGATGTGTTGTGTATGATGCTTTTGTACTACAACAACAACAAATGTACTTTGGGAAATAAAAATATTTAAAAAAAAAAAAAAAAAGATTTATAATTTCATGGCTCCTTGCTAGTAGTAACTGATAGCGTAGGATTGTAAGTGTAATGTATGGATTCCACCAACAATACCAGACAGAGCTAACAATGTCTTAATTTATCTTGTTTTCTCTATATATACTAGGCACATAAAGAAACTGTGCATACAAAAATTTAAATCTAAATTTATCAAACCTGTGTAGACACATAAGGATTTAAACTCAGAGATTAGTGACATGTATCCAACATGCATGCACGTGCCACGTTCCGCGACGTCAGTGGGTTTGTCCTTGAGACGTGCAATACGTTGTTGCACGTGCAGTCCGGGAAAGAGTAACAGAACAAATGAATGCCACACAATACTGTCACTTTGGAAAGCTCAACCCCTGCCCTTGCGATTATTCAAAAAATTAAACGGCTATTGAAACACAAGCATGCCAAGGCTCATGTCTGCACAATGTCATGGGGCCATTAGGATGGTTTTCGGGGGAATGTCTCAACGATAAGTGGCTGCACATTGCCACTGCCACCGGAACACCATTTCTGCACTGGTGAGACGCTGCCAGAACACAAATGACGTCATCGATAGGCCATGTTCTGGACGTCTACGTGTAACAACGCCACAACAGGACAGATGGATAAGGGTGACCCATCTTCGCCACAGGTTTCAGACTGCAATGATGACTGCCCGAACCATCCCAGGACTTCGCCATATCCACCCCAACACAGTTCGACAACGTTTATGTCATCACGGGATCTGACCACGACGTCATCGACAAGCTCGCCGAACGTGGTGGTGCCGAAATCGTGTCCGCAGACCCTTGTTTTGGTGGAGAAATGTTGTTTTTACAGATGTGTCCAGGTTTAACATTTCCCATAGTGATGGACATCAACGTGCCTATAGACGCTTGGGAGAACGTTATGCACAGGCCTGTGTCTTGGAGAGGAATCGCTTTGGTGGTGGTTCTGTGATGATTTGGGGTGGAATAAGAGCATGCCAAAGAACTCCTTTGGTGATTGTTCAGGGCAACTTAAGTGGTGTGGGCTACAGGGATCAGATTTTTCGACCTGTGGCAATTCCTTTTCTGCAACGTCATGGCCCTGGGTTAACATTCAAACAGGACAATGCCCGCCCTCATACGGCAAGGGTTGCTATGGATTTCTTGCAACACCACAACATTGACTTACTGCCTTGGCCTGCAAATTCACCGGATCTCTCCCCAATAGAGCATGTTTGGGACGAGATGGATCGACGTCTACGCTGTCTTCCTCATCTGCCAGATAACGTCCTTGACCTTGCAACAGAACTGGGGAGAATCTGGCGTGACATCCCACAAGCCTTCCTTGCACGTTTGATAGGCTATGCGTCATCGATGCACTGCTGTTCTCAATGCCGATGGTAGACATACCCGTTATTGAGCTTGTGACATGGTCGTTTGATCCCTGTCCCGCTTGTGGACTCATGACGTCATTGTGATTGACTTTTCAATTGAAATTCACCCGACTTGTCATGGTTTCATGATCCCTCCATTAAAGGTTATATGTACCTTTGACATTGTTATCGTACTTTTCAACTGGGATAATATTTTGACAATGCACAGTTTCTTTATGTGGCTAGTATACTTACCATGAAACTTGCCATAGCAGGTAGGTCATCTTTAGTTTCGCCCTCCTCCTGCAAGTGGTCAATGTCACTTAAGTACATGTATTTTGTTACTATTAATTCCATACATTGATTCTATAGAAACCATCCACTGGTATGGTTGTACATTTCTAAAGGGCGTAATTGTGACTTCTTAATAACTTTTTAAAACAAGTGCTATCAACCAAAATGATGTTGTAGCAATACAACTTTTCCACAGAAAATGTAATTTTCTGACCAAAATTGATGTTTTATACTATTTTTCCTTATCCTGACTCATGCTCTTTTGCTTGTCTTCTTCTTCTTGCGAACATAGTGGAACACTTGTATCTCCTTATTTGAAGCTCCCTTCAAAATAAAATCACTAATTGGTACTCACCACGAGTTGCTCCCCTTTGTCTCCCCTGGCGGGAAAGGTGTCGCCACCCTCTGGCCATGTGCTCCACTCTCTCCTCCTTCGCCCAGTGAGCAGGATGTGAGAGCGCCTTGTGTCTCCTTACACACCATATCCTTTGATAATCTCTTAGTTTTTACCTCTCATAGGTTACTATAGAGGTATAGCTAGTATCCTTTACTATTTGTATTGATTAATTATCGTGATTTCTACTGTTTATTCATGTATTCGGTGATTGTTCAGCTAGCTTTACGCTGATGAAAATCTGTACGATTTGTAGATTACGCTTTTCTGCCTCCGATCCACATGTAATATGCCCTAGTTGTTCTACGCCGTGTGCGTTTAATTCACGTTGCAGTTACTGCATTAATTTATCTCATTCTGCATTTAATAAATATCATCTTTATGCCTTAAGACGCAAGCAGATAGATCACGCAAACAAGGGCAAAACATGGCAGAGAGTCCAGATATTCCATCCAGTCAGCTGCTAGCGATCGACCCTCTCCGCCTGGTGTTCTGCTAGAGACTCCTGCGGCAGAGGAACGTGGGGCGCAGTCCGTTACTCGAAGAAACGACCGCCTCCCCAGACATCCCGCCATTGCAGACTAAGTCTAAGAGGGCTCTCATCGTCCGCTCTCAACGCAGATTGAGGACACCCAGGGCAGCGCAGACTTCCAAAGGGAAATCTACGAAGACAGCAAGAACTTTCTCAGCCGAGATCGCTCCAGCAGCAGAGTTGGGCCTCTACGATGATCAGCCGATAATCATCCCCGACTTACGCAGAAGAAGCGACCGTGTCAGCGACTGTGACTTCTGCAGAGATCACCATGCAGCCTGATGCCTCTACACCGACGCCAGACGCCATTG